TGTGATTTCAGATGATTAACATATCCAGCATTTGACAGTAGAATACGAACATGTCTTGCATTTCCAGTGTGCAGTGCTGTCATCCAAGCTTCTGGTAATACCTTTCCTCAAATCCCTTTTCAGTGCTGCATGTGCTAAATTCTTTTCCTCTGTTGACTTACATCCTTCTACAACAACCTGCGTCACTTCTTTCGATCACTAGCAAGGTTTTCCCAGTCATTCACCCCTACCCTAAGCTCTTTCCAGTTATTACAGTCCTTAAATATCTTTTTTGGTTTATGCTGAGGGCACTTACCATTTGCAATCTCGCCATAGTATAGCTGCTTCGGCAACCTAATGTTATACATACATACATACATACATACATACATACATACATTTTACAAGGACTCTCTTCTCTCTCTCTTATATACTAAAGTACTTAGAGACGTTCAACACGAAAACTTTCTGATATGAACTTATGAACTCTTTAAATATTGTATATTATGAGATGAGTCTGTAGTAGAGTTTGAAGAATTTACGAATAAAACGTTCTGCTTTATCACTCAAATTTAGTGAAGAGGAATGATGCGGCGGGGGCGATATCACACCCGAAATAATAATAATGATAATAAAAGAGAATATGCTGCAAAATTGAAAAAAGGCATTTTCAAAAGAATCAAGATGTTAAAAATGCTATAAAGAATTTGAAATGTAAATGTTACACAAAGTTAACACGAAATACAATCATTTTGTAAGTGTAAAAAGGATATCAGAAAATAAAATATAGAAAATTACTGGGACAGTGATAATTGGAACTTTTAGAAAAAGAAATGGATTTTAAAACTTTAAGAATCAAGTTAAAATAAAAAATGTTTTGATTTAGAATTTATTTTAGTTTACAAAAAGCATCAGAGTAGTTGATAGCGAGGTGATAAACAATGGAGTCTTGTTGTGGACCTTGGAAACCAAAGTAAACTGTTTACTCTCGAAAGAGCAAAATTGTACTTTGAAATTATGTCAGTACGTTTGCACTAGAAAAACAAATACGTCACCAGTTCTCTATATAAAGAGGCGAGCCAACCGGAAGATAGGAGAATTATGGCTCGTCTATCTTAGAGTGCAGTCGAGCTGGGTGGAGATATGATGGAGATTGAAAAAAGGAGAGTTCGGGTCCGTCTGTCTTCGTATGTAGTCGAACTGAGTGGAGTGGCGTCAGAGATTGTAAAGAAAGCGTCCGCTGTGTGTTGCTGAACTGGAGGCGAAGAGCAAAATACCGCCGCTAACATCTAGGCACCGCTACTCCTGCTACTACGAATATTACCACTACTATTACGTCTACTGAGTACGGGAACATCAAAGGTTGTAGTAGTTGCGCTAAGAACAGACCAAAAAGGGTTAAGACGAAGGCCATATACCTCCTTAACGAAATTATTCGAAGTATTGTGTTTGTTTGGTTATTGTCCACATACAAGAAATATTCAACCTAGTGCAACAAGAATTTTTTGGGTGTGTGTGTTTGCTTTTATATATATATATATATATATATATATATATATATATATATATATATATATATATAAAAATTTGTCCGTTTAAAATCGAATCGACTTGGTTATTTATTTTTTCTGTTACCCTGATTCTCACCGGACGAACTCGCAGGTGGAACAACGGGGAGCTTCCGGATTTCTACGATCTGATGATTACACTCCAGGATCAAAAAAAAAAAAAAAAAAAAAAAGGAACATTAGGAACCGGAGATTTGTGCCTAATCTGTAATATTGGACCATACCAATGGTCGGTCTGGTGGAGTGCGTGGGTCCAGTTGGATGAGGATACGGTGTTACAATATTATTACATAGTTCCCAGTACTTCCGTGAACCGAACTTGTTTGAAGCAATACGGTATATAAGCTGCAGAAGTAGTAGTATTAGTAGTTATAGTAGCCTTTTATCCTCCCAGGTCACAGGTCATAGCTTTCTCTCTGGAGTTGTCAATTTCCTTTCTCATCAGCAGCAGACTTTACACACTCTGACGCTCAATCCTTTCTGCCCAGATCAAAGTTCCTGTACGTCTGGGTGGTCTTTCTTTTCTGCATTTTCAGTTAAAGTTTTCTTTCTTATAAAGCAGACACGTAAATCAAAAGCAGCTCATAAATTAACTCCTATATTTTTAGCCCTTTGGCTAAAAGGTATAGGAATTGGTCATAGCTTATGCTGTCATAAAACGCTGTAAACATTTTGTGACAAAAAGTTTAAAGTATCTGCCTTCATGCTGGTGTTTTTTATTACATCAATTTGTAGCCTTTTTTTACTAATCAATTTTTTCATCTTCTTTTTTTACTAATCAATGTTTACATGTTTTTTTATCTATTTTTTTTTTATATAAACTGTCTGGTTTCATTTTGGTAGTTTCTTTTTCAACGAAACACATCTATTTTTTAAAATTACTTTTTGATATAATTTTAATATTATTTTTTATCAAAGTTAATTCCTATTTCAATTCTTACACAATTCCAACATGATAACTCTCTTTTTCTTACACAATTCTAATATTATGATTTTTATTAACAATTATTAGCAGCCACCGACCTTATTTATATTTTGGTCACCAGGATCACTCAGTTATCATTTCAAATTATCCATATCAAATTATTTTTTCCTTGCCTCTGATTGGTGAAAAATCCCAAGCGAAAATTTTGCTACTCAGTCTTTTTTTAAAACTTTAGAATTTTATAGTAAGCAAAAACAGGCTCAAATCAAGCCTAGAAACTTGCTTGCTGTTCGTATTTATAGTTTTTTTTAATGATTAACCGGCTTACCGGAAACTCAGCAGACACTGCTACTAATTCCAAGAAATGCGTGGGCTAGACTGTATTTTTCTATTTTTTAACCAATAGAATTGCATGAGGTAAAATAGAGAAAGAGTTTTATTAAGTAGAACAGTAATTTTTTTCTCTTGCAATTAATTTACGGAATCTTCAATAACAGATTCTAACAAACAACCTTTCGAATTCGAACTCATTAACAAAATTTAATTTTTCACCAAATTTGAGTTCAACATAAATTAAACTAACAAGATTTCACCTAAAAAAATTCGACTATATTTTTGTAAAATATTTTCATTACAAAAATACATTGAAAATTACTTATTCAAATATTTGTCTTTTGTTTTCAATCACAAATGTTTCTTATTGTTTCCTCTTGTTGTTTTTGCATTTTGCTTAACATATTCGTAGAGTAAAAAATTGTATGGATTGATTTGTGCCGTCAACACCATTTAAGTAAATGGTAACCACCAAACGTTCCACTACAAGTGCGTTTTTGTACCCCACCCCGAGTGTATGAGGTATTATGGTGAATAGAGGATTGATTGATGACGGACACGTTCTTTTGCTGTATGTGGTAAATTGTAACGAGTGAATGGGCCACGAATCGGATTACCTAGATATAGGATAGCAGTGATGACCAGCCTCAGTTCACCCCCCTCCACACACACACACACACACATTTTGGCTTTGTGCCACAATTTTGTAATTTTGCAAAATAAATCTCAGAAGCTTCCGACAGGAGACCTGAAACTGTTCGTGAGAATTGTAGCCAAATATAGTGGAGCTGGATAAACCTTTCTTGAATACTGAATCAGAAAATTCAACGTCCACTACAAAAAGAAACTACATCAACTATTGTGAAAAGCTACATGACAACTAATGTAAAAAAAAATTGTCACACACTCACTCAAATTCAGATAACAACCTATCTAACAAAATACTGACACGTTTAACAAAGAAAAATATATTCCATTACAATAACAAATTTTATTATATTACAAATTCACATACAAACTGTTGTGATATACTTATAATTCTTTTGTATTCGTTCATTTAATACCTTCTACTTATCTGCATACGAACTGTTGTGTGATTTCGCGTTGGTTCACGTCACGTGATCTTGTGTTTATAAATAACGGTGGGACGCCTCTTTCTCCCTCTCTGGCGTCCGTTCGTCCATATCTTCTAACTATGTAACTCGTAACTATGTATGCTTTTTTTATGTTGAATAAAACCATAATATTCAACTTTCTAAAAAGGTCTCTCTTCATTACAATTTATTCAACATAAAAAAGAATGGATACCATTCTGAGATCCGGTCGATTTGAGGGATCGTCGGAGACAACCGCTGATGAATGGAATCACTGGTACCGTACCCTTGACAATTGCATCGACTCTCTGACAGTAGCTCAGCATACTAATTAATTATATATCACCTAGAGTCTATCCCCTGATATCAAACTGCACGACATTCGAGAACGCCATTAGTATTCTTCAATCTACTTATGTCAAACCAGTTAATTCTGTATTTGCTCGTCATCTGCTCGCCACTAGAAAACAACAGCCAGGTAAATCTATTGATCAATTCCTTCTAACTTTAAAAATCTTTCCAAGGATTGCAAATTTGAAGACGTCACTGCTTCTCAGCATGCCGAACAAGCAATAAGGGATGCTTTTATCACAGGCCTCGCTTCCCCAGTGATACGGCAGAGACTACTAGAAAATTGTGAAATTAATTTGGATAATGCGGTAGTAACCTCGAGAAGTCTCGAAATGGCCCAACACAATGCAGCAGCTTATGCCACTTCGTCAGTTGTAGCAAAAACATCAATTTATCCAGAAGAATCCAGTAATCATTCTACAGATGAATTCTGTATTTGCTCGTCACTAGAAAATTAACTAAATAATGTGCTGCTGCTACCAGAACTAATCAAGCAGTTCGCAACGCCAAATGTCAATTCTGCGGGCGTGAGAATCATTCTCGATACAATTGCCCTGCAAGAAATGCTGACTGCCTTTCGTGTGGAAAAAGAGGCCACTTCTCCAAAGTCTGCCGGTCTAAAAGAAGAGAGACATCACCTAATATAAAAACAGCACTTCTTTTATTGCTCTCACAGCTTCATCCCAATACACACCCCGCACACAATGCTCCATAGTAGTTGCAACTATAAACAACACTCGTCTGAAAGCTATGGTAGACAGCGGAAGCACTCATAATTTCATAAAGTTGAACGTCGTGAAATCACTTGGCCTTCCTATACTACCTTCCAGTGACACAGTAAGTATGGCTTCCTCTAATCTCACGAGCAAAACCCAAGGTTACTGTATTGCATCTATCGCAATTAATGGACAAACATACCCTGATATGCATCTATCTGTTCTGCCCAACTTATGTACTCCTGTCATACTTGGGCAAGAATTCATGCAACTACACAACCGTGTGGAATTCCTTTTTAACGGAGATATACCTCCTTTACAAATCTGTAACACCGCCCAGATGAAAATAGAGCCACCTGCTCTTTTTGCCAATTTATCAGATGACTGTAAGCCAATTGCAACAAAGAGCAGGAATTACTCTGCATCTGATCGCGAATTTATTCGGAACGAAGTACAGAAGCTCTTAAAAGAAGGGATAATAATTAACTCTAATTCCCCATGGCGAGCCCAAGTCTTAGTGACTCATAATGAAAGGCATAAGCGTCGCATGGTCATTGACTATTCTGCCACTATTCAATCGCTATACTTTTCTCGATGCATTCCCTCTTCCAAAAATTTCAAGCATTATACGCCATCTATCTCAATATAAGATTTTCAACAAGTTAGATTTGAAGTCTGCATATCACCAATGCCCTATTCGTGAAGAGGAAAGAATTTATACAGCCTTCGAAGCTGACGGAGGCCTGTACGAATTTTTTCGGTTACCCTTTGGATTAAGAAACTCTGTAGCTGTATTCCAACGTATCATGCATAATATAATCCGAGAACACGAACTTAAAGGCACCTTCGCCTATATTGATGACATTGTCATCGGGGGAAATACAAATAAAGAATTGAATGAAAATATGAAGGCATTCAAAGAAGTTGCTGATCGTCTCAATTTGCAATTGAACCCTGATAAATGTGAGTATGGCATCACCAAGCTTAAGTTTCTAGGGCACCTGTTGGAGAATGGAACAATCAGTCCTGACCCAGACAGACTTACACCACTCAAAGAACTACCGGCACCGAACTGTGGTAAGTCACTCAAACGAGCTCTGGGTGTCTTCTCATACTACTCACCATGGGTGGAGAATTTCTCTGACTGCATTTCGCCTTTGCTAAATATCTCCTCATTTCCTATTGCCGAAGAACTCAAGAGTCAATTTCAGGCAATAAAAGATGAAATTTGCAAGGCTTCGGTTGCGGCCATTGAGGATGAAATTCCATTCACAATAGAAACGGATGCATCTGCGACGGCATTGGCAGCCTGCCTCTCTCAGAATGGACGCTCAGTGGCATATTTTTCTAGAGCTCTTACGCAATCTGAGCAGTGGAGCGTGAATCAGCAGCCATTGTAGAATCTGTTCGCAAATGGCGTAATCTTTTAGTCGGCCGATATTTTACTATCGTTACAGACCAACAGGCCGCCACATATATGTTCAACACACGGACACCAAACCGTATTAAAAACGATAAGCTACTTCGATGAAGACTTGAACTTTCTAACTACTCTTATGATATTCTATACCGACCAGGTTCACTTAATAGCTCTGCAGATACTCCTTCCCGTTCATGCTCTGCTTCGTGTTCATTATCACTAAAAGATCTTCACGCAGCACTCTGTCATCCAGGAGTAACGAGACTGTATCATTTTGTTAAACAAAAGAATCTACCTTTCTCTATGGAAGATGTTAAACATATCTGTGCTGAATGCCAAATATGTGCTGAACTAAAACCAAGGTTTTTCAGACCTCCCCTGGTCGCTTAATTCATTCTCGATCCCCCTTTTCAACGCCTTAAACTATTTCATGGGCCCAAAACCATCAACAAATAGTTTTAAATATCTACTCGTGATCGTAGATGAATACTCGCACTATCCTTTCGTCTATCCATGCCAAGACATCTCAACAGGAACTGCAATAAAATGTCTCCAAAATCTCTTTACCTTCTTTGGCTGCCCAGATTCAAACCATAGTGACCGAGGGATCCAGTTCGTATCATCTGAACTGAAAGAGTTTCTCTGGCAACATGGCGTTGTAATTACCCACTCAACACTATACCATCCAATCGGCAACGGACAATGCAAGAGGGCAAAGGGAAAAATATGGAAAACGATCAAACTTGCACTCAAGACGAGGCAACTGGATAAACGTCATTGTACTCAACATTGCTCTGCACTCAATTCGATCTCTCCTTTGCACAGCAACTAACACAACACCACATGAAAGATTGTTCAATTTTTCGAGAAGGTCGGGTACCGGATACACCCTACCTGAATGGTTGCAAGGAGGTCCGGCGCTGCTAAGAAAGTTTGTCCACCAGCACAAGTATGACCCACTATTGGAACCGGTGGAAATAATATCAGCAACTCCCAATTTTGCGAGAATTCGTTTCCCTGACGGCCGTCAGTCAACAGTCTCAACAGAAGACCTTGCCCCCACTACTGTTACTGTTCCATCGTTTGTAGATTCGGATTCTCCAGTCTTCACCGATCACTGTGAGTCATCGAGTTCTACTCCATCAAATAACAATGAACCGGAAATGTCTACTGACCAACAAGAAACCACAACAAATGGTGAATCTTCCACTTCAGTTGGCGAAACGAAGTCTCAGGATTTAGAACAGCAGCAGCGGTCGCACTTAGGGAAGGATGCTCTGGGATTTCTTCCCGAATCATCAAGACAAAGACGTAAGATCATCCGTAACCCGAAGTATCAATAAAATGTAGCGGAGAGTGTTGTGATATACTTATAATTCTTTTGTATTCATTCATTTAATGCCTTCTACTTATCTGCATACGAACTGTTGTGTGATTTCGCGTTGGTTCACGTCACGTGATCTTGTGTTTATAAATAACGGTGGGACGTCTCTTTCTTCCTCTCTGGCGTCCGTTCGTCCATATCTTCTAATTATGTAACTGGTAACTATGTATGCTTTTTTTATGTTGAATAAAACCTTAATGTTCAACTTTTTAAAAAGGTCTCTTTTCATTACACAAACTCTAAACAATTGTTGAATTCATTCTTTCTTGAATTTATTAATTTTAAATTCTATTGTTGGAATTTAATTTGAGAACAACAATTTCACAAGTACACATTCTCGCTATTTTTCTATCCTCACTCCAACCTCTTTTTAATTTCAAAACCGGCTCCCAAGGCCTTTATTCTTATCAGAGATAAGAATATATTTTCTGACTAAGGAGAGAGCTTGAAAATAAAAAGGAATTCCACCACCATTATTCTTTCCATGGAGCCATAAAGTCTGGGAGAAACCTCACAGCTTCCTCACTTCAACCTGTCTTCAGTACCTTCGAAACCGGCTCCCAGGGCCCTGATTCTTATTAGAGATAAGAATGTGTTTTCTGACCAATGGAGGGTTGTACAATTTGGGAGGGAAAAGTCCTCGATCCATCGGAGCCTACCAAAACTCCATAAATTTTGAGAATCTTGCCTATTTCGACAGTGAGATTTCTGTCCACCGTCTGCAAGGTCGACATTAGGAAGCTCCCAGCACCTTTTTCACCAAAGAACTACTACTAAAAAGGGCTGTCAAAAACGAACGTCGGTCCACTATTCAAGACCAATCCAAAAAGCTGCATCCCTTCACCACTCCTTCTGACGAGTCCTCTGGACTTCTGTCGTCGACCAAAAAAAAAAAAAAAAAAAAACTCACTCAGCTGCAGGATTCCTTCATCTGCGAACAAGTTTCCAACTTTACAAGAACTGTGAATGTTTCTATCAGAACTTTAACAAAAACATCTCTAATCGCTTAAAGAACTCTTTAGGCGCTCAGAGAAATATTTTGAGCAGGCCTTTTTTAAGTTAAGAACATTTTCTCTTTTCCCTTTCTTTCTCTACTAATCGTTCTTTTATCCCTTTACCTTTTTTTCTGTATATGTTGTAAATAAACACTTTCTTCTTTTGTTGTTACTCACCGAGCAGGAGTTTTTTCTTTATTCGTACGCGCCTAAAAGAGAGAGTTTGTCCACTCTAATCTTGTAGTTTTACTTGCGTTTTTTCGCAAAAAAATTAAACCTCAACCCTATTTTTAACCTTAACCCTTTGATGCGGGAAAGCCGGGACAAATTTCCTAGAATTGCGTTGAAACGAATTAGCCTTCTTTATCTCAAATTTTTGCTAACTATAGTGAAGTTATCAAGAGTCTTGTGATTACAAAAAGTAAGTCATAATAACAATAATAGCAATAGTGTAAATAAGCCAGGACAAATTTCCTAGCACTATTTCTTCTCTGCGAAAAATCACAATTAAAGGCAGATAACTTCATTTAAATACTAATAATATTGCAAACAATTTACCGATTTGTTGTACAAGAACAGTATTTGCTATTCAAAACTGACTTACAAGAAAAAGAACAAATCAAAAACATACAAACTTATATGACTGAAATACTTCAAACCAGAAGACATTTCCTGATATTATTCACTGTCGTAGAAATATTTTGAATGAAAGATATCTTTTTTAAAAAAATTGAACTTTTCTGTCAGCCAACAACAAAAACATGAAAACATTTTGATACTTTCTTTGAATATTTTATTTCAGCACGGCCTAATTGTACATTTTGTATAAGTCTTTTTATCATTTTTATTAAAATTTTATTATTGACCTTGTGCCAGGCGGACAGCAAATTTAAAATGTTTGTAGTTTTCTTCACGCAGATTGATCAACTATTATTAAAATTATTATTAACTATGTTAAAGCCTTCTGATAAAAATTCTTTGAATTAACACCACTAACTCTGCAACAGACCTCTCTTTGCCTCCCGTCAGCATAGCTGATGCTATCCTCAAAGAAATTGACTCATTGTGCCTTCTCGGGCTAACATTCTCAACTGATATGAAATGGAAAGACTATATCGAACCTGTAGATGACCCGTGTGTTTACGTGTTGTTAAATTAGGAACACGTGCTGTTTATCCCTGCTAGAAGAAGGTCCAACTACAAGAACATGGCGGACTCAACTTGAGTCCAAAAGACCGATATGTTAACAAATATATGTATTAAACAACAAATTTACAAGTGACAAAGCCATCAACATTTGTGTTTGTGTGTGAACGTTAGGAGTTTGTATATTGGTGAAAGTTCGTACGTACGTGTATGTGTGTTTCATGGCGTTTTCCCACAAGTAGGCAAAAACGCGGATCTCTGCGAGAGATCACATTTTTAAATGCATTCGCTGAAATGCAAAGTAAAAAGAGAACGAGAAAAGAAATCGCCTAGTATTTATAGTTTAGGGAGAGCGTGCCCTATTGAACAATTAGGGATTTAAGGAGGAGTTAACTCCGACAAATTCATTGCTAGGTCAGCTGTTAAGAAAGTCGATTCACTGTGTCGGATGAGACAATTCTTCTCTCCTGAATCTATCTCGCATATCTAAAAGTTTACAATTCGTCCATGCTTACCTGGAGCTGCTTGATACGACCCAAAAAAGAATCATCAATATTATTGGTTCTAATCTGGCGGCTTGGCTTCAGTTATTTGTCCGTCGCGGTAAGGTTGCCTCTCTGTGCTTTTAAAATAAATAGTGTGCGAGTCTATCACGCACGAACAACATACATACATACATACAAATACAAATCACATACAACGCCAAGTATTCATTAGTTAATTCATCACCACTACATTATTATAGACAATTTACAAATCGCGGCAATGCGACAATTTTGTAATCGCTCTATTTTCATGTAGTCAGTGTGGTGCACTTTTGGGGGAAACAGATCACAGAAGCTTTCTTAAGTCTCTTCAAAGCTCGCTCGCTGATTGGTCGATGCCCACCGATCAGATCGTCTGCACGTGAAGAATAATTCTTCCCGCAGTGATCTGGAGCCTATAGTCACTTATTTAAGCAAGATTTTTTTTCTTAGCCAATTAGTGAGAATTCAGCTGCCAAACGAATCTACGACAGTTGAAACCATGCGCCAATCATCTCACTCACACACACCACTCACATGCTGAACATACCTTGTATATACGCACATAATCTTTTCTAACACGGCAAATCTTTTAAGAACAGTCATTATAAGAAACTCTCATGAACATTCTTCCAGTAAACTTTGAAATACTAAAATAACGGTTAAAGAGAGACAACTCTTGTTTATTTCATACTTTTCTTACTTAAATGCATGCTTTCTTTCACATCGTTGTTTGATATTGTACATCTTGTTAAAAATACATATTTTATGTGTAACAATGTCTTTTGCTTATCCTTGTCTGCGTCAGCCCTGTTCCCTAATCTAAATTTAAATTAATGTGGTGAAGTCCACCACAATACTTTCATAGTAAGTAACTGTTCCGATGGGCTCTTTGCTATGTTTACCTAGAGACTGTATGAATTTGAGCGGCGAGGTCGCATCAGTTTACACTGCAGTTGAGCTAAAAACTGTAACTTGTGCACTTACAGTTTCTTTTCTCGCACTTTCCACTTATGAAATTCCTTTCCGGTTTCATGCTTCCCAGCCAACTTTAACCTGCGAGAATCTAAATGCAATGCTAAACACTATCTACTGACCTTTTGAATGCTTTTTTCTCCTTCTACTCATTACTAATGTTTCTGTTCCTAATTTTACGCCCTATTACCCCTTTCGTGTTAGTGGCTGTACTGCCTTGCTTGGGATGACACTTATTAAAAAAACAACTTTCTTATGTTAGTTCACTGAATTATTGGAAAAATACACCGATAATAAATATAAAAAGTAAAATAAAATGCTTTTTCTTTTGGAATGCTATTCTTGGTTCAAGTTCATTGAGCATATTTATTTTTTTAAAAATCACTTGCTTTAATTATTCCATTTAACTGGTAACTTTATTTTAAAAATATATATAATGAAATGTTCACTAATGCATTGGCGTCTGGATATTCCTCGTGTAACATAAAGCTAAAAAAAATGAAGTTTAATTTTAAAATATAGTTTTTATTAAAGACTTTAATTTCGGACGTGATAGAAAGGATTAAATTTTTTTTTAAAGATATATAAAAAATACTTTGGTCTTTCGTCTTAATAACATAAACGTTTTAGAGGATGAAAAATTGTTTGATCAAGTTTGCGTCCTTTTTTCATCAGGGTATGCTCTTTATTTTTATTACTTCGTCGGAACTTATTTTATGGTGAATCTTATTCAAAGTATCACCGCTGCACAAAGAAATGTTTAACTCCGCGCTTACTAACACGTGGAGATAAAACTTATAATGACATCGATGGTATCGTGGAAGGTATTTCCTGGAATGTAAATTAAGTTCCTTTTTAGGTTTATGCTTAAAGCTATAAACTTTGGTTACTATTCTTAGTTCATTCTTTGTGGTTTCGTTGAACAGCACAAGTGTACAGTTGTTTAGTGTTTCATAACAACCAAAACAAACTGACACGCAGCACAAAATCCCCTTAGACATAAAGTGAACATTTCTCGATTTCCGAATATTATTAATTCTATTCACCTTAAATTGATTTTTCATGTTTTTTGCTGTATATTTCTAACTGGGTTAAATCTTAAATTTATCTATTTTTAAATGACATAAAAATAAAATAAATTCAGTTAGTTAAAAAATAAAATAAATCCGATTGCGTAATTGGATGCAAGGAAAAAAATAAAAAGTTGTATTATTATTCCAGTCATTTTTCTTTTGGTGCGCTTAACGAGCTAAAACCAGTTATAATCGTTCTATTTTCAAGCACTTATTTCTTATCAAATAAATAGATAACTCATTTTTCACTTTAAGCATGAACGGAAAAATGATCACTAATGTTCTTTTTGGACACTGGTTTTGTTTTTATCAAAATTCCGTTCCATCTGTTTCGTTATTTTCTTCTATTAAAACTTAAAAGCTTTCTTCAGTTAATCATACACATTCAAATACAAATGGCTAAAAGCAGGTTTGAATATGTAAAATCATTTGAACAGAATGATTCCTGTCTTCCAAATTGCTGGTTGGTTGTACGGATAGATGGAAAAGGTTTCCACAGGTAATTTTTTTCCCACAACTTGCTGGACATCGATTTTTCTTTTCCTTTTATTTATTTAATTATAAACACTAAACAGTATTTCTTTTAGATTGTTTCTGTACTGATCTTAGCCCTAAAATACCTGAAAAAAAATTTTTGGTGGAATTTTATTTTTTTTATTTTGCTAATTTTCTTTTTTCACAAGATAAACATTAACTAAAGCTTTCATTTCTTTTCTTTTTTTACATGATAATAATTTAGATTTTAGATATCTCCAACGAAAGTCCTATATCTTTGTCGAGAAATAGAAATTTAAAAAATTAAAAAGCGAGTTTTTTTAGAATTAGTTATCTTTTAAATAATTTAACAGATTTTTTTTCTCCATTTTTTTCAGCTTTAGAAACAAGAAAAAAAAAACAACCACGATAAAATTTTATCTTTTTTACTCGTGTCCCATTTTATGCTTTGAAAATTGGAAATGATTTATTTACTAAACAAAGTTTTGTTTAACTTAGAGCCTGAAGAAACTATAGGTGGAACCTTCAAGTTATGTTTTTCATTAGAATGAACATGCTTAGAGAGTAATTAATTACATATTGTTGCATTGCAAATTAATTTACTTTTATGATGGGTGTGTTGGAATTGACATACATTTCTAAACATAAACAATTAACTGAACTCCAAATCATTTAAAAAAATTTAAAAATGTCTGTAAAAAAGAAAACCCATAGCGAAAACTGTTTTAAATTGTCCAGTTCTCACTCCTCCTCTGTCTTTTGAACAGAAATAGAGATTTTTATCCCATGTTTTCTGTTTAGCATTGGGTTTCTGGTTCCTTATCCTCTTTCTACTTTAACTTTTTTAACTTCTAGTAGCCTCCTTGCATCTTAGTGGCATTATCGCTCTGCCTGGGGTGAATTGATTTAAAAACAAAAAAATACAACACTTAGCGAGAGAGAAGGTTATAAAGAAAAGTTTTGTTCCTAATAAGGAAAAGAAGACATATCTAATTATTATTTATGTAGGTTTTGTTTGATCTTTCATAGAAACAATTCAGTACAAGATAGATACCACCATGGACTTAAAAAAAAAAACACGAAAAATGCATTTTTTTAAAAACTAATTTAAATGTTTTTGAAGTTAAATTTTGGTTTTATCTGAATGATAATAACTTGAAGCTAATCTTTTTCTTTTTTTCTAAAAAAAAAAAAAAATTTACATTTCTAATAATTTTTACAGGCATTTGCAAAATATTGACATGGCCACTTGTCGAACCTAGATGAAAATTGAAAAATGAAAACAAATTTTAAAAATCCAATATTTGTCAGAGAGATTATTTTGAAGTCAATTAATAATTGACTGGATTTTGTAAAAGTAATGTTTATTTTTTAAATATTTCTTTTCTTTAACTATAACCATATAATTTTTTTTTATTCTACACGATTTTTTACTTGAAATTTTTAAGAAACTCAAACAAAATTAATTTTATTTTTTATAGCCTGTCTGAAGATAAATCACAAACTTCAATTCAAAAAGCCCAACAAATCTAATATGTTATATTTAAACTAGAAAACTAAATTTTTAGCCACTTTTAATGGCTATATTTTGAGATCTTTGAAATTTACAAAAAAATAGATAGAGTGATCGAAGTTATGCAGCTTCTGCTTAAAAACCAATAAACTTTAAAGCCTCGGAAATCTAATTACATAATTTAAAAAAAATCTATTCTGCATGTATTTCATTAATTCATAAAATACTGAATTTATTTTAGATTGGATAATTCTTTGATTTTTGGTAAATTTTTGAAAAAGAGGGAACCATCTTTTTTTTTTTGTTTTCATTTCAGAAAAAAATCTTGATGGTACATTATGAGGCTATAATTTCTCTTGTTATTAATGAGAAATATTTGTGTGTTTAAGAAAAACAATTTCGCTTAAACACTTTCTCCCTATTACCCCAAATTTTTTTTTATATTCCTTCATTGGGTACTTAACCACGAACAAATGTGTTTTGTTTTTTCCTTTTATGCTGCTAAATTACTATATAGATCTTACTGTATTCACTGAAATACTGATGATAGACCAAGTTTTAAATTGACAACAAAGTTAACTTTTATTCACTTATTTTACTTTGCTATAAAAAGTTATGTGAAGCAAATTTAAATCTACTATGTTGCATTAAAAATTAAAATGAACATTCTTACCGCAGTAAAATAATACTGTTATGTGATTTAGTAGTACTAATAATTTTATAGTAGTACTAATAATTTAATCAACTGGTGTCTCTTAGTTATCTAAACATTAATTTGTAATCTTTAAAGATTCAGAATTTACTTTTTCCTCTATAAGTTTTTGTTTTGTGACTGATCCTAGGCAGACGTGCTAGAAAGTGACATTTTGATTCTAAGCAGAGTACAGAAAAATTTTGATCTTAGGAAGAAGTCATAATTCGCGCATCAATAATTTCCTCATTTTTTATGCATTCTATGTTGTTGCTTTTAATAGCAATACATGATATAAATAATATTGAAATTAATTTTGAAAGTTTTGACAAGACTATTATTTACTTATTGATGTGTGATAAAGCTTATTAATGGCATATCAAATAAGTATAGAATTGTGTATTATGATTCTCATAGAAATCAATGAATTAAAAGGAAATGATCCAAATGTAGGACAGAATTTTTTAAAGATAGAAAATTGTCACAATATAAATAATTATTTTACAGGTTCTCTGAAGTTCATCATTTTGTAAAACCAAATGATGACCGAGCTTTACAGTTGATGTCTCGTGCTGCACAGTGTGTTATGGAAGAATTCAAGGATATTATTTTATGCTATGGTCAAAGTGATGAATATAGTTTTGTGTTTAAAAAGAATACACAACTTTATTGTAGGCGGGCAAGGTAAGTATTGTTTTTCTACCTATAAAAGCATAGAAAAGACTTTGTAACTAATTTGATTAAAAAAAAAAATCAGGGATCTAAAGAAACGTAGAAGAATGAACAAAATCATGAAAAATTGATTGTTAATCAAATACTAATTAGCTACAAAGATATTTTTCAGAGTTTTTATCCTATCTATATGTAGATAATGTGAAAATGATGGCAACAAACATAGGCATATTAACAAAATCAAGGTGACTTGATAGTTAATGAAATATTGATTAGCTATAGCAATACTTTCCAAGATTGCTTTCATCTTTATACCTTAAAATTATCTTTTGTGAATCTGTATTATCACTTTTTAATTTCAAGGTGTATATATACCATATATACTTGTGTATCATGCAACTTTTGAAGACCTAATTTTGAGGCTAATTTTAAGAGGGTTGCATCATACACAAAGATATAAAATTAGCATATATATTGTTGGCCCTGGCTACACCAGTGACCAAACTATATATCCATTTACTGTAGTCAAAAAGTATAGTGATGTATATTTAAAATAAACATCTCACATTACGCAAGCATATATGGTAATTTGATTTCATTTTTTCTTTTACATGTTTTTGTTTCTTTTTTTTTTGTAGCAAACTTATGACAAATGTTGTTAGTCTCTTTGCATCATCTTTTGTGTTTATCTGGCCACAGTATTTCAGCAGCCAAGAACTTCAGTATCCACCTGCCTTTGATGCACGTATTGTTTGCTACCCTTCAGACCAAAATCTGAAAGATTATTTCAGTTGGCGACAAGCTGATTGTAAGTATTATGTATTGTAATTATTGACAAATATACCAAAATACTTTTTTGTTGAGAAATAGATAACACACAGACCGTTACTGTTGTGTCAATGATTCAATTTTCACTGGTTGTCCACACTCATAATTTAAGCTAAACTTAGTAAATATCTAGACAACTCACAATCTAGACGATAACTGCTACATTGTAGTAATTTTAAGTTTCACTGAGTGTCCTATGTTGTAGATTTGTGCCATATTAACTAAACTTAGAAAATATCTGATTCTTTCACTATGAAGTAAATGTGCTAATCTATTGTGCATAGAATTCAAGAGTCATTGGATGTTCCATCTCTTTAGCCTTGTGCTAAGCTTAGTGAATATATAAAGATGTCTATGGTACCCCTATGGTAAGCTTGTATTGTAAACCAGTTCACCAGCATACTACAATTAATCCTCATTTAGTACTCCATTTTTGTGAGCTTGTCTGACTAAGCTTAGTTTAGTGAATATCTTTGAGTATCACAGTGTTGAGAGATTATTAAGAAGCTAGTCTAATAGACTGTTTTCTCTCTTTAGAATCCTTGCATGCTAAATTGAGCAAATACCAATAACAAATCTAACAATGAAAATTAAATACCATTTTCATTTTTTAAATTCATTTAGGTCACATTAATAATTTATACAATACTTGTTTCTGGAAACTTGTTCAAGAAAAAGGATTAACTCCTGCACAATCTCAAGAAAAGCTGAAGGTAAATATTAAATTAATACATTTATTTACTATTAAGAATAATACTTCATAATGAATAATTTTGATAATTTTTGTAAATTATTTTTTTTTATGATTTTTGTTTTACAGATGAAGAAAATACTTATTTCACTATGATATGATAATAGTTATTACCAGTATGCATAGTTTTAATAATAATTAAAAGCAATTTACATCAACAGGAACACAGGACGATTTGGTGAATTAACCAATTCATTATATGAAAAAGGTAAAAAATTAAAAATAAAAATTACCCTAGAGATGTTTCTCTGTCAGGATATGGCATACCGGTTCTTTGTCTTTCTTCTATCATGGCCACAATGATTTAACTTTTGGTGATTAGACTAAAAGTAGCTGTGACTTTCCATTGTGAAGATACTGGGTTTGGCAGTTTGCTGGCTGCTGCTTCCGACTGGTTGTTAGGAGCCCAAACTGTTTGGTAAGCACCTAGAGAGTCTGATCTGATCAACAGTCACATAATATTGGGGTATTTGTAGTGACATGTTGTTCATGGGTAAGTGTCTCGGCATGTATTTCTGGTGGGCAACCCTCAGGCCACACTATGCTCTGTCGTCAGCCATGCTATGGATAGTTTGTATTACCATTGATGACAGTGACAATTATAGTGGTCTTTCCTCTCTCTCCTCTAAACAAATCTCATGGAAAACATAACAAAAAGGAATACAACTAAACCAGTAAACAAAAAACCAGCTACCCACTAAGCATTTCTTTCACTAATATTTGTTGTATCTGTTCCAACTTATGTAGCATAGAATCTTTCCTCTTGGAATGGTCACCAGATATTTTTGCCTATCTATGTGAAACTAACTTAAATTCTTCCATTGCTATTGATATAATGGAATATGCATACACCTGAGTTTCCCCTCACTGGAATATGATTGGCTGGTGTCCGTTATAAATACATATGGACGTGTAGGTACAACAGAGTTTAAGTCTATGATTACACCCATTGGACTACGCCATTGGCTATCCTATTGGTCTACACCTATTACCTGCGACTACGACGAGCACCGGTCAATTACTGCTAGCGTGTACTACTTCCCAAAACCCACTTAGCTACTTCGATCAAATATATTCCTTTCCGGAACATATCAGCTATGAATAAATTCTTGGTTCTAGGCTATCTTCCCCTTGCCAAAAAGATTCCAGTATTCACATGCATGGCCTTTGTGTTTACATCTGGGATAATTTTCTGATGGCCAGAGAATTGTCTCTTGAGGCCCCAGACTACTCCTTCATGTGCTTCCATCACTAAACTCTTTTTTCTTTATCACTCTCCCTCTTCCCAGGACTAAAGTATATTAGACATAATAGCTAACAGTAAAGAAAATGCACTTTCTCTCCATCCACCTGCAAATTTTTTGTCTTCACTGACTTTAATGCTTACCACAAAACATAGCCATTGTTAGTGGATACTCATATTTGAGTAGATGCTATGTTTATTTATTAAACAGTATATTTATTTATTTTTGTCTACCAGCCTGAATATTTGAGAAATCTTTAAAAAAAATATGCACTTGCAGAATTTGGACCTGTATTCTCCTTTGCAGAAAACCATCATTAGATCTGATGGGCTGATTCAGCCATAGAGAGTGTTGCTAATCAAATTTAATCTGCATTTTGATCATAAAAATTGTATTTCTTATTTCAGTGTCTTAAACAAAGCCTCAATACTCTTGTACTATTTCCAGTTTAATTCTGTTATGAATTCTATAATTATAATTTTAGTTATGTTGCTTATATTTATTTAATTGTCCTATGGAGTTTGCATTCATTTGCACCTGTCGCTGTTGGCATCAATATGAAGATAGATCTACTTAAATCTTTTGGTATTTTACTGCTGTCATATATTTCTTTTAATATTTCATTAATCTTATTGACTCCAAAATTGTCTAAGGTTGTTAGTATCTCTATTACAATCCTATCTGGCTCTGCTGCTTTGTTTATGTAAGCAAAGTTTAGGCATTGTTTTGGATTTCTTTAATATCAATAATTTATTCTGAGTTTACTAGGAGCTGATTACTAAAATAGTATAACTACCTCTTATTTATTAGATGAAGTATTGTCAGCATGGATCAGAAATAATCAATTAAAAAAAAATTAATTATGATTGATAATTATTGTATTATTGATTTTGTTTTTAACAGTTTATCAACCCTTTGTGGGTTAAAGCTGAAACATATTTTGAAATGTAAGAGGTATCTTATGGTACTGGGTATAGAAGTGGAACTCCATCCAAGTACAGTCTAGGTTCAACACTGCTTAACTTTGGTGATTGAATGAGAAGTAGTTCTTTTAGTGTGATTTGACCATGATTGATAGTAGTAATACTTAAGTTGTTTGAATTTCCCAGGTGAAATTTTATAATTATTAATTTTGACTAGTTCATCTTTCATCCTTTTGTCTCATAATTGTTGCTTTTTGTCTATGCATGAAAGATGTGAAAGTAAATTTTTATTTTGTATTGTCTTTTAGAAGACACTATGTGTATATTTGTTAGCAAAAAGTTGGAAATCTGAGGATTTCTGCTTTTAAAAGCAAGTTCAGTTGTAAATGTAATTAGATTAGAAACAGAAGTAAATAAAGTAGTAAAAAAAATTCACTAATGTGTTTTATGTGAACTCTTCCTAGTTGGCTTTCAATTTTAATACAAAATATTTTGCATTGTACATATTGTATACAAAATTATTAGATTACTCTATACACAGTGGTGAGATTTTAATAGAGTTAAATTTTTTGTTTATTTTGAAAAGTTTTTATTTTTAAATCTGAAATAAGATTCTGTAATTAAAATATTAAAAGAAAAAATCTTATTAGAAATAATTATTTTCTTATTATTAATTTTTTTTTTTTTTAATATATATTTTTTTCATTTTAGGGTACACTTTCCAGTGATAAAAATGAAATCTTGTTCACAGAATTCAACATCAATTATAACAATTTACCAGAAATCTACAGGAAAGGAACAATTTTAATTAGACAAAAGGTAATATTTGACTAAATTCAATTTCCAAAATCTTTTTGTATCTTTGTATTATTGTCAGTTTTATTTCACATGAGCCTAATCTTTATTACTAATATTAGTAATATAACAATTTTGTATTAGTAGTAGTATTTCATGATCTTATATTAGTAACAGAATAGCAATTTTGTTTTATTGATAGCATTAGTCAAATTATGACTTTATTATTAGTAATATTTTATGCAGTTCTATTATTAAGAGTAGTATTATAAAATACTATCAACTGTGGTATTTTACATAATTCTAATCTAAGTTCATTTTAATTTTGCTCATTAAAAATTTTTTGAAAGAATATAAAAGCAGTAAAATGACTTATTTTTATCATTTAAAAAAATATTGAACCTCTTTAAATCATTTTAAAGTTAGTATATCAGTTATTCCTAATGTTATTTGAAGTTCTAAGATTCATTTTTCTTTTTTATATTGACAAGTATAACCTGGTAATCTGCAAGGAATAAGTGTTTACATCTACATTTTTTCAAAACTTTTTGAATTAAAAGAGCAAAATCAATCTTTATCACTTGGATCTGCAAATTAATGATGATAAAAATTTATAAAAATATTGTGAATAAGCTGACTCTTTGGGGATTGCATAAGAAGACTGGAGAGCATATTGGCCAAAAATTTAATCATCAGAACAACGTAGCAGTATCATGCAGTTGAATTTGTAATTCTGTGTGCATGAAACATTACAAGCAATTTCTCACTAAAATGTTAAATTACAACTTGTAATACATTAAAAATAAAATATGATTTCAATTTTATTCTCAGCTAGACTTCCCAGCCATGATGTCTTCAATATGGCTGTTGGGTTATTCAGACTGGTCACATTCAATTAAGCATAACTTTTTCACATTTGAACTAGAGATGAATCTTTTTATGTTCCAAATTTGCAACTTTTTTCACATATGAAAATATAATAGTTTTCCTGAAAATTTCTGTTAAACATAAAGAAAAAAACATTGGAACACTTTTTAAAAAATCATCTCTCTAGCTCAAATGTTAAATTGAATGCAACCAGTTTAAATAACCTTGCAGCTATCACACAGTCATAGTTGGGAAGCATGAGAAAAAATTGGAATAATATATTTTTTTTATCAAGTTCAGTATGTGGAATAAAATGATTTATAGTTTTTGCGTGTAACAAAAATAAAGTGTTTATATTAGAAATAGAAAATTTATTACAAAGCTTTGAAAATGAAAATCTGACAGGATCAACATAATTTTGTGATAATGTGGATAATGAGATTTAGATGTTTAAAACTCTGTAAGCATACTTGACCATATAGAGTCTTTGTTAGATATTATTGTGGTGTTTTACTTGTGTACTGACTCAGCATCTAAGTGTCCATATGTTGTACATGAAGTCAATATACAATTCAAATTTGTGTTAAACTCACTTTCATCTTATGCTAATTTATAAAAAGGAAGTAAGACTAGTAAATTTGTCAATCTGCTGTGAATCTGTTCAGAAAAGGTAAAAGGCAAAATGGATTAATAATTAATTTTGTATGTTGTCAGTCCTCACGTTAATTGAAAAAAAATTTTGCATTTGAAGGCTCCGGAGATTTTTTTTCTCTCTGATAGAAATAGATCTGATGATAAAAAACAGAATCTAACTTCCATGTTTCTAAAATGAGATGGGGTAATTAATTACAGCTATTAAATCATTTTGAATTTAAACAGTTTTTTATTTATTCCAGAAAGGCAATACAGAATCCCAAACTCCCAGCTGTACAACTTCCTCTTATTACTGCCAACAAAACAAAAAGACAAGACCTAGGATATCAATGCTGCATGTAGACATTATTGGAAATAGTTTTTGGAATGAACACCCAGAATTATTAGAGAGTTAACTGTCTTTGAAAAAACAAATAAAGATGAATTATACAGTTTTGGTTGTCTGTTTTCCCTATCTTTGCATATCTTTTCTTAGTAGCTTTTGATCTTACAGAATTACTTAAGATGTATTATTTTATTTAATCTTCCCTTTCAAGAAGATTTTTTGTAAGTGGTCATCTCTAAAAGACATGGACAATTTTAAAATGTCATATTTCATCAACAAGACAGTCTCAAAGATAGGAGTTTCATGTTCCTTATGGTAATGTTTAAAGGTATTAGTATTCAGGTTAAGTGTAATATCACAATCACAGTACCAAACTGCTCTTTCCAAAAAAGATTTGGGAATTGAGGGAGAAAGATCTGAACCCTCTGATTGACTGGAAATTCGTAGGATTTGTTCAAACTCCTAGTAATTTTAAAGGTAGATATAACCTGTATTTAGAAGAGAAGATTAGAATAATTAAATTCGAGAATCAAAGTATACTATTAAATCAAAGGAACAAGTTAGTTCCAAATGTCAGCACCAATGTATGTTCAAACTGATCTAGAATATTTTCGATTTTGCTTAATCTGTTATCACCAAACACATATACTGTTATTTCTACTCCTTATCATTCCCATCAAATAACCTTCTTACTACATAAGTTTTTTATTATTATTACTTTTACTGTTATTATTATTATATTTACTGTTATTATTATTATTTCTTTTTTATTTTTGTCCTTACTGTCGGTGCAAATAAATGCCACAGATGAAGCAGACACTATATCTCAGGCTTTTCGTGTAAGAGTTTTCCATCTCCTAGACCAATCTATAATCTTGGTCAGCCCTGATAGACACTATTTGCCCATAGTTGGGACCCTAACAGGTGCTACTACCCATCATATTATATATATATATATATATATTATATATTATTATTTTAGATGTTACCTTTTAATTACTCTTCCTTAAAGGGTTTTTTAAAAATAATTATAAAAATCTACTCTAATTTTTAAATTTGTAATTTTCCTTATAGAAACTAGATGTTAATATTTTAAAATGTAGGTCAAGGTTATTTTAACTAATGTCTAAAACCTAACACTCCCCACCCACCACCACCATGAAACTGGGTTTAAGCTTTGTCTAGATGATTTGCTGCATCCTCAGTCATATTCGTTCTCCCTTTCTGTTTTTTTCCTTTTCTTTGACTTTTTCATCCTTCTTTCTTAATTCTTTATAGTTTGAAATTTTTAAGCTATGTTTTTATTTTATTTCTTATCCCCTTGGTGTTGACAAATCCTGCAATAGTGTGAAATAGCTATACAAATGGGGTATTTCTGAATTTCTCTTATATGTAATTATATATATATATATATATATATGAGATAATATATCTTATGTATTGAACAGTATTGGCAAGTTGTATGACAAAGTGAAAAACTTGTGACAAGTTTCCTACTTTAGGACTTCATCAGACTAAATTTGTTATGTTGGTATGACTACACATGGGAGTGCTGGGCTAATTCTGCTTAAGAGAACTAAGAATATGTCACCAGGATTATTTACATGAAGAGGAGGAATACATTAAAAACACTTTCAAACTTCTCCAGTACCCAAATTATTTTATATTCAGTACGAAACAAAAGACCCATAAAATATTCCAAAATAAAAAAAAAAAAAACGCCCCTTCTGAGAAACCCCAAGCAATCAAAAAAATATATTAGCCTACCAACTAACTCTATCACATCTGCAATAAAAAAGAATCTATCTAAACTCAGCATAAAATTTGTTACTATTACATTCAAAACAAAACAACAATAAGCTCAAACCTGAAAGAGGAGTTTACTCCATAACCTGTAATAATTCTCACAAAAAATACATAGGAGGAACCTCAAGGAATCTAAAAAGATTATATGAACACAATTTTTTACAAAACTATAGATCAAATGCATTGATTGCTGGCCATAATGAGACTGACCACAATTTGGACAAAAAATGCTACTCTGATCAAAGGAGAAAATAATTTACTACGATGTAAATGTCTAGAGAATGCCTTGATTGCAAGGTCAGTCACAGTAAATTTATGCCCTGGCTCTTACAGCATTTCACCATTCCTGGCAGATTTTCTAATATCACATTGTGGGATGCCTACTAACAAAAATGATGAAAAAGACTCTAAATGAATTCAGCTATAAATTCAATATATAAAAAAAATTTTTTTAATTCTCAGCACCTCTTGTATTAACATAGCAAATTTATTCCAATGAAGTCTTGAAAGACAAAATGTGTCACAATTAAACTTTTTCCACTTTACCATACAGTTTCTGTGTGCATATATATATATATATATATATATATATATATATATATATATAATCCAAAAATAAAAAGAAAGAGTAGATTTATAAAACAGAGTTCTTTAGCATTTAATTTTTTTAAAAAGTGCTCAATAATATTATAATTACTTTTTTAGAAATATGTTTCCATTGCGACACAAAAACAAAAAAATTAAATCTTAAATTAAACTTAAAATTTGTAGTTCAATTCCATTTTCAACCGATGCTGAGAATAACCTTTGAAAAAAATTGATTTATTCTATCTAGAAGTCAAAATAATATTATATATTTTAAGTTGATGGGGTAATGAAGTTTAATGGCATTTAAAAGAAACAAAACACCAACAGTAAAATGGAAATTAATAAAAAAATGAGAACATATAGATCTTGTCTTTTGTCCCTACATAAAAAGTTATATATTATTAAGTTTCTGAAAAATAAAAATTTGTTAAATCAAAGAAATGAAATAGCAGTTTTTTGTAGATATTGTCTCATATTTTCCTTCAAAAATAATTAATTATAAAAATAATTTGCATAATTATATATCTATTATTTTATACATGTGTAATTAAATTCTAATATTTTAATTTTACAATACCATTTATAGTTTATTAGTAAATAAAATAATAGTATTTTATATCTTTATAAATAAAATATAAATATAAATTAATCATATTTGAATACGCCTTTAAGAAAATCTCAATGTAGTTTTAGAATACATGAAAATAAATAAAAAATAAATATAAATGCCAAAGGTATTGTATTGTAACCTAAATAAAAAAAATAAAAAAATGAGACATTGATGACATGTCCGCATAAAAGGAAGTCAGTTTCAACAGACTGAAATCTCTAATCCCCACCCAACCATAACCAACTTTGCCACATAAAAATATACTTGTATCTTCATTTGTCAAATAAGCCAACACCCACTTAATAAAAAATTCTAAATTCTCATTCCCCTACCAACTTAAAATTTATAATACTGTTTGGCTTGTATATAGAGTAAATCAATTGAAAACTGAATGAAATGAAACAGAAAATGGTATAAAAAAAAACAAAAATGGAGCAATGAAAAATAAAAAGTACAATACTTTGGTCCAACTATAAGTTACACTAGAAGGAAAACAAAAATTTGGCAAAGAGGTGGGAGAAGGAAAATAAATAAAATTAACTGAAAAGAAAAAATTCACAAAGTCACTTTTCAAAAATTTTAAATAAATTGATAACATAAAAAAGTTGTTCAAACTTAAGAAAATTCAATGAAAAATAATTAACAATAGCAGACAGTCACATCAGTTACAGGTAAAAAAAATAACACAAACTAACTGGAGAGGAAAGTAATATTTATTTTTGTAATATACAAAAAAAATGTGATACATTGCTGAGGGGATTGGGAAGGCTGGTCTTCACACTGTTTTAACTTTAACTTAGCTATCCACAATCACTGACCCAAACAAACTGCAATATTTCTTGCACCAAAACTACATATTCTTACAACAATTGCCATAATACCACAGTATCTCCATGACGTCCTCTCTTCATATGTACAATTTTTCTGGTAGGTGGGGAATAAAAATAGTTTTTAAAAATTTAAATCTCAATGAGTATTTACAATGTAAATAATATCTATTTACAAGAAACAAAACAAATGTGTTAGTAATAAAAGCCCACAATCCTTAATTGTGACAGAAACATCAGTTAACTGGATGAAGTTAATGTGGGACTAAATAATTTAAACAACAGTCCTACCAAACACTCACTCATCATATGAAATACAAAAGGCATCCTGCATCCACCAGAGAACTGATGTCTCTGTATGGATGAGGGGAGGTGAAATTAAAGAAAGAGGGGATAAAAATAAAAAGGTGCTGATGAGCATACATCCCCTGGCTAAGTTAACTTTGTCAGAAGAAACTAAGGAAAAACAAATCTGAACTAACCTAACTTTAAGCGAGGTTAACAATGTTCAAAACAGAAAACCAATATCCTGATGCCTAATTGGCATCAAAATGCTACTCCAAGTCAACTCCTTTTACTCAACTGAGACGTGCAAGATTCATCCACCTTTTTTGCCAAATTCTAATAGAGAGAATCGTTGCTTTTCTGTCCTAAGCTCATGCTTAAAAATAGTAATAGCTGATCTCACCTCACAGCCCTGTCCCTTTGTGTCCATTCTGTCCACAGAAAGTGGGTGGCCCTTGTCTTTGAGCAATGTAGATTTTCTTATCACCATCATTTATTGTCTTGAGATCTACCAGTGATACCTGAAGCGAAATACTTAATTAGTTTATACTAATTCCACTCCCCCAGGCACTCAGTTTCCCAATTCAACCGTGATGTATGTAACAATTTCCACCTTTGTCTGGATTCTCAATGGTCCATTGTACCAAACATGGCCCAGAAAAAACAAGATTTTTAATGAGAAATACCTTATGGTTTAGTATTAGTATTAAGGAATTTAACTCTCTCTGATCAGATTTCAGCCCAGAAATCTAAGCAAATATTTTTTTCTTATCAGAGAAGGAGAAATTCCAAAGTTAATGATTTTTTACCAAATTTATTTGAGGTTCAACTCTGATTCCCTTATAATCTCCATTTTATATGCTTGATTTAATTTTATTCTCCATTACTTTTTGCACTTTCCTCCTAATTGTTTAATAATACATATTTGGGGAGGGGTGAGTTTCAATTTATTTC